TACACAACCCAGGCTTCAAGTTTTATCTATTCGGCACGACATGTATATATAAAAGCACCTCAGTGGAAACAAGCCTGACTTCTTTGGGTTATCGTTTGTAATGTATACATGTTACTATGTATTGATAATTGCAATCACCTAAATTTGTATAACTTAATAAACTACAAAAAATTTCTCCCTTATGGTCTTGTCCTGTTTTTCTTACCTCCAAGTTCACTTTATTACTAAAATAAGATAACTTCGTCAAGATGGCAAGAGTCACTGCAGTAGATTAAATAGTTCCTCTGATCGGTTATTTTTCTACAAATAAAATATCGCCAGTTCAGAATGAAATTGAAGACCCCCGATGAGGAGCCACTTAGTAAAAGCGTAAAAATCTATAGCGGTCATTAAATGGACTTATTGTGCAAGAACGCCAAAGTCGTACCATTAGAATCGGGAGCATTTGGTCATTGTTGCTAAGTGATCAGAAATGATAAACCCGATACAGTTGTAAAGACGTTTCATACACGTGTTGAAAAAACTACATTTGGAGTCAGAAATTAAGCTAAACTTTTCTTGATAAGAGAGTGTAACGTGCTGGATTATCTTGCTGGAGTAAAAGGAGTGCAGGAACTCTTGGGTGTTTGCCTAAAGAGGAATCAGATGGTTTCTTATTATGCAGGCGAAACCCTTGGGAGGTTTCTCAGTAACAACACAGACACGCTGCTGAGCAAGCTTCAAGTGATGTTTAAGGTGCATAGTGTCGTGCAGAGAATTGTGGAGAAGGATTTCGCTCATAATGATATCAGGGATAGTAATATTTGTATATTAAACGGAAATATAACCCTGATTGACTTAGGTTTTGGTAGCAAATATGGGACAGTTATTAGTTATGATAAACATAGCTTTAAACAACATGAACGTGACTGGTTTTCCCGGAGATATGGGGAGGGGCACCATGCTCTGAGGCAAGTGATATTTTTAGCCTTGGAACAATGTGGAATAAATATTTCGGAGACACACATCTCCTATCGAAATAAAAAAACTTAATATAAAAATCGCTAGAAGAGGACGCGATAAATAGGCCTTCCAACTAGGCCTTTATGACTTCTCTTGAAAAGTAAATAAATCAGTTGATGTACATGTAAGGTAAATACGCCTTACCATAGTCTTAGTAACTGTTGCAGTTACCAGCTACCTGTTTACCATCGTCACTTGATCCAGGGAAGAAACTGCTGAAGCAGAAGGTTCATGAAATTTCGCCTTCCTCACCACAGGATTCTGGAAGGAAACTTCTGAAACGAGAGTCATATGAAATCCCTTCTTCCTCACCTCTGGATCCACAGATAAGATCACCTATACGAAAGAGTGATAAAGGTACACCTTTATCTTCATCCGCGCCGCTGGATCATAAGGTGAGATCCACAAAACGAAAGAGGGAGGAAATTTCATCTTCGTCGTGTACATCTTCCTCGTCTTCAATATCCTCTCTGCTTGATCATGAGGCGAGACCCTCAAAACGAAAGAGGGAGGAAACGTCATCTTCATCTTCCTCGTCTACATTTTCTTCGTCTTCACCTTCCTCGTCTTCATCTTCCTCGTCTTCATCTTCCTCGTCTTCATCTTCCTCGTCTTCATCTTCCTCGTCTTCATCTTCCTCGTCGCTGGAATCAGACACGCCACAGAAACGAAAGATTGATGAAAGTACCTATTCGCTTCTTTTCTGGCTGCTGGATCCAGAAAGGACATCACCTAAAAGAATGAGGTATGAGAGTACCTCTTCCTCCTCCTCCTCCTCCTCCTCACTGCCGGATTCATACATACTTCAATTTCTCGATACAATTAGTAAAGTATCACACTCACATACAAAAGAGTTGCTAATGTTTGAGTTAATAGAATAAATCATTCTAAATAATGTGAGGGATAAATGTCCACCTTCGTTTACATCATAGCAACTGGATCCTGAGGCGACACCCACAGAACGAAAGCGGGAGGAAACCTCGTCTTCATCTCCCTCTCTGCTGGATCATGAGGTGAGATCCTCAAAACGAAAGCGGGAGGAAACCTCGTCTTCATCTCCCTCTCTGCTGGATCATGAGGTGAGATCCTCAAAACGAAAGAGGGAGGAAACCTCGTCTTCATCTCCCTCACTGCTGTATCCTCAGGTGAGATCCACAAAACGAAAGGAGGAGGAAACCTCTTCTACATCTTCCTCGCCGCTGGTTTCAGAGAGCCCACATAAACGAAAGAGGTATAAAGGTGCATCTCCATGTTCCTCCTCATCGCTGGACTATTATGGACTAAGTAAAGAAGGGAATGAGGCAGATTAAGAGTAAAGTATGTGAGAAACACAGCTAGTTTGACACATGTCCACAGAAAAAAGTGACGTGCTACAGGAAGGCAGCGCAGTCATACCAAATCACTAGGTGCTAAAAAGCATCATTTACCTGGAGTTACCTGGAGAGGGTTTCGGGGGTCAACGCCCCCGCGGCTCGGTCAACCAGGCTGTTACTGCTTGCTGCACGCAAACTGACGCATGAACCACAGCCCGATTGGTCAGGTACTGACTTTACGTGCCTGTCCAGTGCCTTCTTAAAGACAGCCAGGGGTCTATTGGCAATCCCCCTTATGTATGCTGCAAGTCAGTTGAACAGTCTTGGGCCCCGGACACTTATTGTGTCGTCTCTCAGTGTACTCGTGGCGCCCCTGCTTTTCATTGGGGGAATATTGCATCTCCTGCCGAGTATTTTTCGTTCATAGGGAGTGATTTTCGTGTATAAGTTTGGTACTAATTCCTCTAGGATTTCCCAAGTGCTTATTAGGCCTGGTCACAGACCGGGCCGCGGGGGCGTTGACCCCCGTGGCAGTGTAAGTTGTATTTTGTACTTGTACAAATAACGATTATTATTATTATTATTATTATTATTATTATTATTGTTGTTGTTGTTGTTGTTGTTGTTGTTGTTGTTGTTGTTGTTGTTGTTGTTGTTATATATAGTGTTACTGATGTCAGCTATGGTATGTATAAGTTGTATTATGTACTTGTACAAATAAAAATTATTACTATTATCATTATTATTATTATTATTATTATTATTATTATTATTATTATTATTATTACTTAATTATTATTATTATTATTATTATTATTATTATTATTATTATTATTATTATTTTATTCCCTGGAACGCAGGCGGGAGAGATGCATGGTTATATACACCTGGAAAATCCTAGAGGAACGAGTACCGAACTTGCACACGTTAAGAGAGAACACAATAAGTGTCAGGGGCCCGAGACTGTTCAACTGCCTCCCAGCATACATAAGGGGGATTACCAATAGACCCCTGGGGAGTCTTCAAGCTGGCACTGGACAGGCACCTAAAGTCGGTACCTGACCAATCGGGCTGTCGCTCGTACGTTGGATTGCGTGCAGCCAGCAGTAACAGCCTGGTTGATCAGGCTCTAATCCACCATGAGGCCTGTTCACAGACCGGGCCGCGGGGGCGTTGACCCCCGGAACTCTCTCCAGGAAAACTATCACTCTAACTATTACTTTAACCAATTATATTGTATTAGCACCACTTGCTTTAGTGATGAATATGGGGAATACATTTTTACTAATTTTACTGTAAAAAACCTTAAGACGCCTATAACAATCGGTGCCATATACCGGATCCCCCACACAAACATCCCAAACTTCAGTGAGAATCTAAAGTCACTAATAACAAACAGACAAATGAACAAGCACCACCTTCTCTTAGCTGGAAACTTAAACATCATTATTATTATAATCAAGGGGGAAGCGCTAAACCCGGAGGATTATACAGCGCCTGGGGGGGGGGGATGTAGAAGGCATTCAGGCTTAATTCGGGGAACTGGAGCACAGATCCAATTCCCTAAATCAAGAGCCCCTCCCCAACATCAAGGAACCTTCCTTGAGGGGACTTCAGTATCAACCTTGGCCTACCAGATGATCAGACTGTAACTGATTTCATCAACAATATGAACAACACACTTCTCATACCAACAATAACTAAACCAACCAGGCTGACTGAGACAAGTGCAACCATAATAGACCACATCTGGACCAATATACTAGCCCCCCTTAATACCATAATCTGTAATATTTTTAAGTTTAGAATTAATCTAAGTCTGCCCGAAACACCTAGACATGCTAGGTGTCCTAGTGGCCCCCTCTGTAATTAGTATTTTATAACATGTAAACCTCACAATATTCAAAATCTGTAAACCCCACATTGTAATCCTTATGGAGAATAAACTTGATTGATTGATTGATTGATTGATTGATTGATTGATTGATTGATTGATTGATTACTAATAATATTGATGTCAGTTATGGTTATGTACTCACCTAATTGTGGTTGCAGGGGTCGAGACTCAAATAAACATTACTATTATTATTACTATGATTATAATTATTATTATTATTATTATTATTATTATTATTATTATTATTATTATTATTATTATTATTATTATTATTATTATTTTATAAAAATAATTACGCAAATACAATTATTGAAATATAATTTTCATTAATGAATCTGGTAAAAAAAATGTATAATAGTTAAAATATTGATAATATAGTTAAAATATTGATAATATAGTTAAAATATTGATAATGTAGTTAAAATATTGATAATATTGTTAAAATATTGATAATATAGTTAAAATATTGATAATATAGTTAAAATATTGATAATATAGATAAAATATTGATAATATAGTTAAAATATTGATACTATAGTTAAAATATTGATAATATAGTTAAAATATTGATAATATTGTTAAAATAATGATAATATAGTTAAAATATTAATAATATAATTAAAATATAATATAGATGTTTTTGGTATAAATTACTTATTCTACATATAATAATTGAAAATAATTGAATAAGTTGTAAATTAATTTTTAAAAATATAATTTTGATAAATAATTGGTATTATTAAAATATTATAATATAGATATTTGTGGTAGTGAATGTTGTTGTCAGCAGCCAGACTCAGACACATGTGTTATTCTCTCTCAACTTTACCAACAAACATCCAAGATGGTGAGTCATCCAACAACTTGTAAATATCATCATTATCTTGGTTATTTATCCAGGTTTGTGATGTGTTTGTTATGTAAGACAGTTAGTTGATTATTATTGGTTAAAAGTTAGTTAAATATGAGGCGTGTTGGTAGCGGCGGCGTTGATCATATTAACATTGTTTTTAACATCATCCTGCTGTATTGCCCTTGTGGCTTAGCGCTTCTTTTTGATTATAATAATTTAACATCCACAGATTATAAGGTAATTCATCTTATACATAACTTATTACATTATTAATGTTAACTTTATAATAATGTTTATTTCTTTATAAAGGTTACAATGTGTAATGTGGCCACTATCATGGCCAGGTATTTCAGGCAAACTAATACTAATAAGAACATAATGAAGGAACACTGCAGCAGGCCTACTGGCCCATGCGAGGCAGGTCCAAGTCTCCTACCGGCTTAAGCCAATGCCCCAACCTAGTCAGGTCAGGTCACATTCACTTTAAGGAACACAACTGACCCAGCAGCACAAGCTAGTCAGGTCCAACTCACACCCACCCACACCCACTCATGTATTTATCTAACCTATTTTTAAAGCTACACAACGTTCTGGCCTCTATAACTGTACTTGGGAGTTTGTTCCACTCATCGACAACCCTATTACCAAACCAGTACTTTCCTATATCCTTCCTGAATCTGAATTTTTCCAACTTAAAACCATTGCTGCGAGTCCTGTCTAGGTTAGATATTTTCAGCACACTATTTACATCCATTATTTATTCCAGTCTTCCATTTATACACCTCAATCATATCCCCCCTAATTCTACGTCTTTCTAGAGAGTGCAGATTCAGGGTCCTCAGTCTATCCTCATAGGGAAGGTTTCTGATACATGGGATCAACTTTGTCATCCTCCTTTGTACATTTTCCAGAGCATTTATATCCATTCTTTAATACGGTGACCAAAACTGTGCAGAATGATCTAAATGAGGCCTAACCAAGGATATATAGAGTTGAAGAATAACCTGAGGACTCCTATTATTTATGCTTCTTGATATGAAGCCAAGGATTTTTTTTTTCCTGGATAGAGGCATGGTTGACAAATAGGCAGCAGAGAGTTTGCATAAATGGGGAGAAATCAGAGTGGGGAAGCATCACGTAAGGTGTTCCACAGGGGTCAGTGTTGGGTCCTCTGCTGTTCACAATCTACATAAACGACATAGATGAGGGCATAAAGAGTGACATCAGCAAGTTTGCCGATGACACCAAAATAGGCCGTCGAATTCATTCTGACGAGGACATTAGAGCACTCCAGGAAGATTTGAGTAGACTGATGCAGTGGTCGGAGAAGTGGCAGATGCAGTTTAATATAGACAAATGCAAAGTTCTAAATGTTGGACAGGGCAATAACCATGCTACGTATAACCTAAATAATGTAGATTTTTAATATTACGGATTGCGAAAAAGATTTAGGAGTTCTGGTTAGCAGTAATCTGAAACCAAGACAACAGTGCATAAGTGTTCGCAATAAAGCTAATAGAATCCTTGGCTTCATATCAAGAAGCATAAATAATAAGAGTCCTCAGGTTGTTCTTCAACTCTATACATCCTTGGTTAGGCCTCATTTAGATCATTCTGCAGTTTTGGTCACCGTATTAAAGAATGGATATAAAAAGCTCTGGGAAATGTACAAAGGAGGATGACAAAGTTGATCCCATGTATCAGAAACCTTCCCTATGAGGATAGACTGAGGACCCTGAATCTGCACTCTCTAGAAAGACGTAGAATTAGGGGGGATATGATTGAGGTGTATAAATGGAAGACTGGAATAAATAATGGGATGTAAAATAGTGTGCTGAAAATATCTAACCTAGACAGGACTCGCAGCAATGGTTTTAAGTTGGAAAAATTCAGATTCAGGAAGGATTATAGGAAAGTACTGGTTTGGTAATAGGGTTGTCGATGAGTGGAACAAACTCCCAAGTACAGTTATAGAGGCCAGAACGTTGTGTAGCTTTAAAAATAGGTTGGATAAATACATGATGTGGGTGTGAGTTGGACCTGATAGCTTGTGCTACCAGGTCGGTTGCCGTTTTACTCCCTTAAGTCAATGTGACCTGACCTGACTAGGTTGGGTGCATTGGCTTAAGCCAGTAGGAGACTTGGACCTGCCTTGCATGGGCCAGTAGGCCTGCTGCAGTGTTCCTTCTTATGTTCTTATAATGTTCTTGTATAATGTTTCTCTATAATGTTCTTGTTTAATGTTCTTGTTCTTGTATGTTCGTCTATAATTTTTTGTATAATGTTCTTGTATAATGTTCTTCTATGTAATTGTATAATCTTGTATAATGAGAGTCGGACTCGGGGGATGTTGAAAAGTGTTTTACGTCTTGTATTGTGACTGTACATTCTCTTGTAACTTAAGTAGTAGTTTTAGGGGAGGTTTACAGTGAAGTTTAGTGTTCGGTATATGTAGTAGGTACAATAATAACAGTGTATGTCTTGTAAGATAATTCTTTTATAAATACTTAAATTGTTAATAAGACACATGTGTAATATATCTTTATTAATAAACTTTTCGCCTACACAGCAGGCTTCTTCAGTCGAGTAAAGAGAAGTTTGTAGAAGCAGTAGAGATGTGAAGACGATATCATCAGTCCATCGTCGTTGAAGACGTAGTTTTGAGGTGGTCAGTCCCTCAGTCTGGAACAAGACTACCTCCATAAGTAAGTTTATTCAATAAACACAAATACACTTACATACATTATCATACATAACAGCATATGTGTAGACAACCTAGAATATGTGTAGACAACCTAGAATATGTGTAGACAACCTAGAATATGTGTAGACAACCTAGAATATGTGTAGACAACCTAGAATATGTGTAGACAACCTAGAATATGTGTAGACAACCTAGAATATGTGTAGACAACCTAGAATATGTGTAGACAACCTAGAATATGTGTAGACAACCTAGAATATGTGTAGACAACCTAGAATATGTGTAGACAACCTAGAATATGTGTAGACAACCTAAAATAACCTAGAAAAGTTGAAATGACTTATTTTCGTTGAGGTCTTTATTCTTGGACCTGCCTCGCATGGGCCAGTAGGTGGCTTGGACCTGCCTCGCATGGGCCAGTAGGTGCTTGGACCTGCCTCGCATGGGCCAGTAGGTGGCTTGGACCTGCCTCGCATGGGCCAGTAGGTGGCTTGGACCTGCCTCGCATGGGCCAGTAGGTGGCTTGGACCTGCCTCGCATGGGCCAGTAGGTGGCTTGGACCTGCCTCGCATGGGCCAGTAGGTGGCTTGGACCTGCCTCGCATGGGCCAGTAGGTGGCTTGGACCTGCCTCGCATGGGCCAGTAGGTGGCTTGGACCTGCCTCGCATGGGCCAGTAGGTGGCTTGGACCTGCCTCGCATGGGCCAGTAGGTGGCTTGGACCTGCCTCGCATGGGCCAGTAGGCCTGCTGCAGTGTTCATTCTTATGTTCTTATAACCTCTTACAAGACGCACAGCAACACTAGCGTCTTCTAACTTTATTTACACAATTACTAATGATTATTTTCACATTTATTAGCAAGAGTTCATTTTCATAGTAACTAGTGATCCTTCATTGGGTATTTTTTCACCCAGACAGTGGACTTTATTGCCTGTTTTCACCCACACAGTGGACTTCATTGACTGTTTCACCCACACACTGGACTTTATTGGCTATGTTTCACCCAGACAGTGGACTTTATTGCCTGTTTCACCCACACAGTGGACTTTATTGGCTGTGTTTCACCCACACAGTGGACTATTGGCTGTTTTCACCCACACAGTGGACTTCATTGGCTGTTTGACCCACACAGTGGACTTTATTGGCTGTGTTTCACCCACACAGTGGACTTTATCAAGTTAGAGAGTTTACCTGACTCCACACCGTACATACTCTACTCAGATCTGTTTTCGACTTGATAAAGTCAACTGTTGTGGGTTAAATGGTCAGTAAAGTCGACTGTGTGGGTGAAATGGTCAGTAAAGTCGACTGTGTGGGTGAAACGGTCAGTAAAGTCGACTGTGTGGGTGAAATGGTCAGTAAAGTCGACTGTGTGGGTGAAACGGTCAGTGAAGTCGACTGTGTGAGTGAAACGTTATCAGTAAAGAATCACATTATGCTGCATTTGTCTGATTATTCATTGTGGTTCTTATAACACCATTTACACTAACCAACAAAATTTAACTTTTTTTTTATCAGTTCAGAAATACTATTGGTTGTTTTAAGTTAACTCTGCAACATTGATCACCAGTGCATTTTCACAATCTTGTGTACAATATTTTTGGTTATTTAATTAATAAGGTTGAAGCATCATGCATCATATTTATTTATATTATGTGCAGATACTAGTGTGGTTCATGTAGTGATAAATGCTGGGTTTTATTTACACAAATTCATTGAGTGAAGTTTATTTAGGTGAGGTACACAAGTATGGTCATGCAAATTTAATTACAATTTTTATACATAACTTTGCATAATACCTACTTGCCTGGAGTCTACCTGGCGGGTGTTACGGGGCTCATCGCCCCCTAGGAAACCCAAAAAGTTAGTGACTTAATTCCACTGGGATCCCTGTATGATTGAAAAATATCAGTTCCCAGGTAGTCATAGAAACATTTATGGTTAGTGTTTTCAGGCTTTTTAATCTTGTGATCACCGTTGCTCTCCCGCACCAGTGTGGTCACCGTTGCTCTCCCGCACCAGTGTGGTCACCGTTTGCTCTCCCGCACCAGTGTGGTCACCGTTGCTCTCCCGCACCAGTGTGGTCACCGTTGCTCTCCCGCACCAGTGTGGTCACCGTTGCTTTCCCGCACCCAGTGTGGTCACCCGTTGCTCTCCCGCACCAGTGTCCAGCAATAGTTGACCCTAAACTGTAAGTTATGTTTGCTCTGGTATTTCTTCTCTTGTCTTGGTGATATCACACAATTGTATAAGGTAAGGTTAGATTTTTTGGGATTTTTAAAAACCCGGGTAGGGAGGGTTAGCCACCTCGAATATCCCAGGGTAGGATGGGTTAGCCACCCAGGATAACCCAGGGTAGGGAGGGCTAGCCATCCAGGATAACCCAGGGTAGGGAAGGTTAGCCATCCAGGATAACCCAGGGTAGGGAGGGTCAGCCATCCAGGATAACCCAGGGTAGGGAGGGTCAGCCATCCAGGATAACCCAGGGTAGGGAGGGTCAGCCACCCAGGATAACCCAGAATAGGGAGGGTTAGCCATCCAGGATAACCCAGGGTAGGGAGGGTTAGCCATCTAGGATAATCCAGGGTAGGGAGGGTTAACCACCCAGGGTAACCCAAGGTAGGAAGGGTTAACCACCCAGGGTAACCCAAGGTAGGAAGGGTTAACCACCCAGGGAAACCCCAAGGTAAGAAGGGTTAACCACCCAGGATAACCCAGGGTAGGGAGGGTTAGCCACCCAGGGTAGGGAGGGTTAGCCACCCAGGATAACCCAGGGTAGGGAGGGTTAGCCACCCAGGATAACCCAGGGTAGGGAGGGTTAGCCACCCAGGATAACCCAGGGTAGGGAGGGTTAGCCACCCAGGATAACCCAGGGTAGGGAGGGTTAGCCACCCAGGTAAACCCAGGGTAGGGAGGGTTAGCCACCCAGGATAACCCAGGGTAGGGAGGGTTAGCCACCCAGGATAACCCAGGGTAGGGAGGGTTAGCCACCCAGGATAACCCAGGGTAGGGAGGGTTAGCCACCCAGGATAACCCAGGGTAGGGAGGGTTAGCCACCCAGGATAACCCAGGGTGGGGAGGGTTAGCCACCCAGGATAACCCAGGGTAGGGGGGGTTAGCCACCCAGGATAACCCAGGGTAGGGAGGGTTAGCCACCCAGGATAACCCAGGGTAGGGAGGGTTAGCCACCCAGGATAACCCAGGGTAGGGAGGGTTAGCCACCCAGGATAACCCAGGGTAGGGAGGGTTAGCCACCCAGGATAACCCAGGGTAGGAAGGGTTAGCCACCCAGGATAACCCAGGGTAGGGAGGGTTAGCCACCCAGGATAACCCAGGGTAGGGAGGGTTAGCCACCCAGGATAACCCAGGGTAGGGAGGGTTAGCCACCCAGGATAACCCAGGGTAGGGAGGGTTAGCCACCCAGGATAACCATGGGTAGGGAGGGTTAGCCACCCAGGATAACCCAGGGTAGGGAGGGTTAGCCACCCAGGATAACCCAGGGTAGGGAGGGGTTAGCCACCCAGGATAAACCCAGGGTAGGGAGGGTTACCCCACCCAGGATGACCCAGGGTAGGGAGGGTTAGCCACCCAGGATGACCCAGGGGAGGGGGGGTTAGCACCCAGGATGACCCTGGGTAGGGTGGGTTAGCCACCCAGGATGACCCTGGGTAGGGTGGGTTAGCCATCCAGGATGACCCTGGGTAGGGTGGGTTAGCCATCCAGGATGACCCTGGGTAGGGTGGGTTAGCCATCCAGGATGACCCTGGGTAGGGTGGGTTAGCCATCCAGGATGACCCTGGGTAGGGTGGGTTAGCCATCCAGGATGACCCTGGGTAGGGTGGGTTAGCCATCCAGGATGACCCTGGGTAGGGTGGGTTAGCCATCCAGGATGACCCTGGGTAGGGTGGGTTAGCCATCCAGGATGCCCTGGGTAGGGTGGGTTAGCCATCCAGGATGACCCTGGGTAGGGTGGGTTAGTCCCCCAGGGTAGCTCAGGGTAAGGAGGGTTAGCCACCCAGGATAACCGAGGGGAGGGGGGGTTAGCCACCCAGGATAACCCAGTGTAAGGAGGGTTAGCCATCCAGGATGACCCTGGGTAGGGTGGGTTAGCCATCCAGGATGACCCTGGGTAGCCCAGGGTAGGGAGGGTTAGCCACCCAGGGTAGGGAGGGTTAGTCACCCAGGATAACCCAGGGTAGGGAGGGTTAGCCACCCTGGATAACCCATGGTAGGGAGGGTTAGCCACCCAGGATAACCCATAGTAGGGAGGGTTAGCCACCCAGGATAACTCATGGTAGGGTGGGTTAGCCAACCAGGATAACCCAGGGTAGGGAGGGTTAGCCACCCAGGATAACCCAGGGTAGGGAGGGTTAGCCACCCAGGATAACCCAGGGTAGGGAGGGTTAGCCACCCAGGATAACCCTGGGTAGGGAGGGTTAGCCACCCAGGATAACCCAGGTAGGGAGGGTTAGCCACCCAGGATAACCCAGGGTAGGGAGGGTTAGCCACCCAGGATAACCCAGGGTAGGGAGGGTTAGCCACCCAGGATAACCCAGGGTAGGAGGGTTAGCCACCCAGGATAACCCAGGGTAGGGAGGGTTAGCCACCCAGGATTCCCCAAGAAAGTCAATGAGTCATTGAAGACAATGGTCTTTTAATATCTTCCCAGGATGCCACCCACACCCACCCAGGTACCTACTTACTGCTAGGTGAACAAGGACAGCAGGTGTAATTAACCTCAGACATTCAGTGTGTGAGGCGAGTGTGTTGCCTACTGAGCCATTTGGTATGTATGTTAAGGTTTGAAGTTAGCATTCCAAAAATGAGTTAGAAAACCTATAAAACAACAAAAATGCTAAGTTAGACTGAAACGTCGTAAGCTGCTCTCTCCTATGTGCGGGCTCTTTATAGAAAGCTATGTTTATACAGGTCCACATCCCTTTATCTGAAACCCCTGGGGCCCGTTGTGATTTGAATTTCAAAATTTTTCGAATTTTTAGAACGAAGGTGGGGTTTAGGGCAGCACCCCATAATCAAATATTAACACTGCAGCAAAAAATGTATGAATTACTCGCACTAAGTGGGATAAAATAAGGGAGGGGCAAGCCTTTTTCCAGTGAACAAGATATTAAAATTGAAAAATTATGGAAAAAAAATGTTTTCTTGCTGAAAAATGGTGCAAAATTTCTGGCAATATTTTGATGTAATCAGCTTGTTTCTATCATATTTCTAAGCATGTTTTTCATTAAATGCATTTTTTTTTGTTCTGCTGTCAGTACATGTTGGCAATTAGTTTTTTTTTTTTTTTCTCCCAAAATTACGATTTTTATGATTTTTTCATTGTAAATACTGTACATGGCAACTTGTGTGCTGGCTAGTGTGAGGAGAGCAACAGTAAGCCTGTCAGTAGTCGGCAGACTGTAGAGAAGATAGGAGGAGTGCAACACGCTGAATGGTGGTGCGCGACTTCCCAAGAGTTTCACACTGTAAAATAAAAAAAATCTCGGTAATAAGTTATTAACATTCTAATCCATTTTTTCGTTACATATTCATTGGATTGTCATGATTTTTGCAGACGTTATTGAGGAATGATGGTTCTACAAAACACCCAGAGAAGATTTGCCGTATTGTGAACAGCTTCTTGTTAATGATTTTTTCCTCTAAAAAAACAAAAAAAAAAAAATACTAATTTCAACTTTTCTTCTTTATGGGAATCTACTAACATTATTGCTAAAATTTCTCTGGGTCATTATTAACACAGCCTTTTTCTTTCATCTGACATCAACTAGAGCATTGTACATCTTCCCAATTTAGTAAAATTTGGAAAGGCCCTAGGACCCATAAAATTGTGCAAAAATATTTTTTTCCTATCTAACTTCAAGGCTAACAGTCAAAACAAACACAGCCTATACATTTTTTTAAGCTGATTAATCCACTGTCAAAATCCCATTGAAATCTCATAAAAAAAAAATTGGAGATTTCGCTCGCCTCTCCCTAAAGACTCCACATACTACTACAGTTTATTTATAGAGTAATATATTGATAATGAAATAATGGGATAATTACAGGCCTCTCTCAACATTTGCGAGGGTTAAGGATCAAGAGCCTTGCAATGTTTGGTACTTTCCCCTATACAGTGGACCCCTGCCTTATGATGGCATCGCGTTACGTTAAATCTGCCATACAATACATTTTAATGCAAAAGTTTTGCCTTGCCTCGCGCTAAAAAACTCGCCTTACGTGATTCGTCCGGGATGCGTCCCACGTGTGGCCTCAGCGCCAGCATTTACAAGTCAGCCAGTGCGGTCACATCTACGCATACATTCGGATCATTTCACATTATCCCGGTGTTTTTAGTGCTTGTAACTGCAAAATAAGTCGCCATGGACCCCGAGAAAGCTTCTAGTGCCATCCCCGTGGTAAAAGGGCGAGAATTACTATGGAATTGAAAAAATTGATTGAGGAAATGTGTGCAAAGTGGGTTGAACTGCAAACCTTTATGGATGAAAATCGCCTTGACACAGCTACTACAAGCCATGTTGGCAACCTGTACAATGTTATGGCCCATTTTAGGAAAGTCTTAAAGGAACGGGAGGTACAAAGCTCTATGGACAGATTTGTTGTGCGACGGAGATCCAGTGACTCAAGCTGGTCCTAGTGGCATTAAAAGAAGGGAAGTAACCCGGAAAGGACTTGCTACCTCAAGTCCTAATGGAAGGGGATTCCCCTTCTTAACAATAACTTCCACACTCCCCTCCTCCCATCCCATCAATCACCACCAGATCTGCAATAAAGGTAATTGTCATGTATTCTATTCTTAGTAGAGTAGTAATTGTTCATGTCTTCAGTTTGTGTGCATTAAAATTAATATTTCATGTGGTAAATTTTTTTTTTTTTTTTTCATACTTTGGGGTGTCTTGCACAGATTAATTTGATTTCCATTATTTCTTATTGGGAAAATTAATTTGCCTTACGATAAATTTGGCATATGATGAGCTCTCGGGAACGGATTAATATCGTAAGGCGGGGTCCACTGTATTGTAGGGAAATATAATACAATACTGCTTCCTTAACCTGTTGAACCATAAACAATCATAAGAGACATGAAAACATCATGAAATGTTGTACT